TACTCTAACTTTGCTCAGAGTAAATATTGAAAATGACTTTTTAAAGATCCAAACTATTTTCCATGACAATAGTTTTGTACAAACACTCATCTAAAATAAGACTTTTATATTTTATTGAAGCTTTATAAACTAAAAAATAAAAAAGGTAATAATAACTATTCACCCGTCTTTCAATAACAGAGTTTCCATCCACGTTAATGTTGCCGAGAAACAATGGAGTTTGACCCCTAAATGTGAATACACCATTGTCTGCAAAATGATTGAATTAACTCTGATGCGGTAACAGAAATTGATCAATGCGCCAAGCGGAGTACATGGGAATTATATGATGGCACACATAATGAATAAAAAAAGCTACTAGGTGCTTATAAGTTTCTCTCTCATACTCGTACTGAACTCGCGGGCCTTGCAGTGTACACGGCTGTATTGAAACTCTCAATTCCCAACAAAGAGGATACTAACGCCCGGTTTAACTTGCACAAAGTCATCATCATCATTACAAAGCAGCGATCTCGAATGGGCGTATGTGTGTATATGTACGTCAAGGAGGTGCATTCACTATTTTATTTTGTTTGAATAGAGAATAAAGAATAAGTACATCGTCATTGAGATTTTGAGGCGGAGCTGATGCTGTGCCTTCTGGTCACAATTTACAGCTAGGGGTTCATGTTTTTTGTTCTAAAACTCTATATCTGTAATCTCAAGGTGTATTTTTAGATAATATAAAATTCGCTATTTTTTCTTCTACTTTGACTTTGACTTTTATCTGCCATGAATTTGGTTCATCATGCTCCCATTTGTCGCTCTAAGTAACACGTCGATAACAATCACACGATCGTCGGATTCCGTATTATGTCATGTATGATGTAACCAGCAACAAAGCAAAGCCAAGGTGAAATTAGGAGCTGAAAATCAATATATACCTTTACTATTTTTTATTATAACCAATAACGTGTTTAACTGGAAAAAAAAAAAAAAAAAAAAAAAAAAAAAAAAAACGATGATAATCAAGTTCTCTGGTTTGACTGTACTCTCTCCCTAGTTTCCTGTTCTAGTACGTCCGACATTGAACACAGAACATCCCTTCCCTGGGACAGTAAGGGAGTGTTGGTATGAACGTGTGACAAGGGTAGCATGTTTGTGTTCACATACACAAGGGATGCATAGCCAATCGGATCTGGTTAGCACCTTAATCCTCGTGAGCAAGATAAAGCATTACATCCAGTTTCCACTCGCGACAGTTTAAATAGTTGCCGGCAGAGGAAAAGTCGCAAAAAATTGCTAGCAGTTTTAGTGTGCTGAACGTATAAGGACAAAAATATATAAATTTTGGTATATATAAACATATAAACATATATATCTATAGAAGACACATGAAAATACAACGCCGGTTTGGGTTTTATTCGGAGAGGAGGGATTAGAGGACGCCGGGCGTCGCGGCGCAGCTTTTGCCGCACCCAGCAGAGCGCCTGCTCCCTCACGCTGCCAGGACGTACAGTTGTCCACGTTACGTTTAAACCTCTCTTTAACTTCTCTGTTGCCAAGTGTAAGTGTCTGTGCTTTATTTTCCACTCTCTTTATCTCCGTACTTGACTTTGTTCCCGGATTATTCGAGTTGAGTTGAGTAAAGTGTTGCCTTTCTGAGAGAGCAAATCTTTATAAAATTTTGTTTGGATTGTAGCGTATTATAAAATGTAAAAGATAATACATTTTTTAGTATCAGTGATTATCTGATTATGATTACGTTGAGAGATTTCCGGCGAGGTTTTTGCTCAGGATTGACAGGATCGAGTTACGGTTCGGGTTACTGGGGATAATTCAACTCTAGTTACTTCGTATTTTTTCTTACTTCATTGCGTTAATCATAATCATAATATATAAAGCTAATTATTTTTGGGCCGGTGACGAGTTTTAGGAGCGTGATATAAATTGCTGGGGAAAAATATGGACCAGGAAATCGCTGACAGCTGGTGGAAATAATCAGGTGGCAGATGAGTTTACTAAAGTGCGAGCCAGGAGTTACTTTAAACACGGAATTACGTTAATATTATTGTTTTTTAGTGTTTAAATAGCCCGATAGAGAGTTGGGATTCTCCAAGTAAATTTAGGATGGCGTTGTGTGTGAAGGGGGCACTGACCGCGAGAACGTTTCGCGTATCTTGGATAGGATAGAATAGGAGAGGACTGAAACATTGAACTTGCTCGTCGGGGGTGACAAAGGGAGGATTCCAACCGCCCTCGTGTTCCTTACTTTTATATTAAATCGTACGCAATTTAATATTTTGCGACAAAGCGTCGTCTTTTTCTTTCGTAAAATTAAATTTAAATTGACTGCTCCCATGAAAAAATTTATAAAAATAAAATATACATAATATATGTATGAATAATATTTTTTAATTAGCTAAGTTTTGGCCAATGTTATATTTATTTGATATATTTTAAATGTAGTTTAAATACATTAATAATATATCTTAGAATATATAAAAAAATTCACATATTGAAAATATAAAAAAAAATGTATCATATATTCTTTTTGTAAAATTTTTTCTTGAAAGTGATATAAATTTACAAGTAAAGTGCTGATACTGATAAAGTAATTGCCGAGAATAATTGATTTCACTGAACTCACTATTGGTTCAATCGATTAATCGCTGTTTAGTATTTCGTACAGATAATAGGATTTAATTCTTTGCACAGGTAGATCTTTCTACTACTAGGCATTAAATCGGGATTGAAACCCTCCTTAAAGTTTTTTTGTAAATTTATTTTGTACCAGAGCTTTTATTTTTTCATTTATTTTATTGTTAATCAGTTACCTTTTCTTATAGTGGTGATTTATCGAGTGGAAAATGAAGGATTTAAATTGATGCTGCGTTAACATAACTGTGTGTGTGTGTGTGTTACTTTGCGATCGATAGTGAGCCAACAATGTCTCATTGAGAGAAAAGTATATCATACAATTATAAACTCCCAGATAATACTATTTAAATAAATAATCCTAGAGACTTGTGTAAAGGTGACGTTTTATACTTTTCCGGTTGATAAGTACGAATGATTAAGTGAATCTAGGATGATGGTGGATCGTGTCGAGGGTCATCTTTTCATGTATCGCCGGCCTGTCTACCGGGTTTTCCAGTATCTTGAAACAAGCGAGTAAGTAATTTAATTAAGATGTCATGTCTTGATAATTGTTATAATGATGAATGGAGTGATAAATCTTGCTCATTTAAATAGGCATTTTAATTAACTATGCTTTTATGTTAATTATTCAATTCTCAAAATTTATCTATTATCTTTTCTATCGTTTGATATAACAAATTTGTTTATTGCCAGATCAACCAAAAATAAAATGCAAAATAATTTATCGGTTGCATAATTGTAAGTTTCTCTAGATAAAGTCCTTCATATAACTTAATTTCCGTACTGAGTACGAGAAGAGGAAGCCATCTAGCGGAAATTCAATAACTCACGAGAGTAATCAACTATTTCTGCACTGGCTAACTGATTTACAGTTGTTATTGCGTTTATGTGTAATGATTATTATAATTTATGATAGAAATATTCGGTAAAAGAACGTCGTGTCTTTGTATGATGTTCGTCATAGGTCGAAGTTAACGTGTAATTTGCAATTGAGTAACAAGCTATTGCACAAACGAAGCCTCAAAAAGTGAATTTAGTTGATTGAATATACGGTTTTGAGCTCACGAATATATGCAGCGATTTATTCGATATTGATTTGACCTCATCATCGTGATCAACATAATGATGCGCGCCGAGGACAGCCTTAGAAAGACAGGAAGTGTATTTCATCCGAAACGTAGCCACATAATGATTTACGCGTGGGAAGACAAGAGTGGAGTCTTGTTATGAGATATAAGATATTGAAACAGGATCCTTGTGCTCCTGTTACATCGATGATACCAAGATATAAAAAGTATTGTACAGCCCATACTTTATATATACATACATACATACTTACATACAGTGTGTGGTGAATTGTTATCGGTGATGAGATCTCTTCCTAAAGCTTATTCACAAAAGTAAATCGTGATATTGATATTGATAACAATGAAACACTTTAAATTCATTTGATGGTTTTCTTTTTTTTTTTCTACATGTAATATATAATAATATCATACAAGATTAAATTATCAAAAGACTGTCGATCGTTGATATACTGTTTGTCGTAAATCTTAAGTAAGCTTAAAGTAGGAAGTTGATTGTCCTGTTTCTTAGAATATAATTTAAAAGCTTTTGTCAGATAATTAACTAACAACAAGATAGCCCTAAAATGACGTTACAGCGTTACAAATTGGTTTGGTGTAATAAAAGGCGTCTTAATTGGATATTGTTACCTATGACATAAATATAGGCACATCGTGAGTAAATTGAGCGCTGATTGAATCATTACTCCAGCGTGTACGTGTTGGAGACCGTTCGACAGTCTGTAGATCCATCGGGTTTTGTGAAGCAGGTATTTGAATTAACGTTGCTCACTGCTACAAATCTTCCCTTATTGCTCGGAGGTGGCACCCCATTCGGCGGCCATGAAGGGTTCTTCGTCGGGTCAGGCCCAATTTGCCAGTCTGATAACTTCGGATGCACGCTGGGAATTGAAAACGCCCTGGAGTTATCGTTCTCTCTGTTTATTTCTCTGACGCCTTTCAGTGTCTCGTCAACTGGCTTGTAAGTATTGTCAAATGTCTCAAGATACGACGGGCTATGTTTTTTGAACAGAGCTGATTTTTGGATAATTTCTTCTCCGTAATTCAAACTCAACCCTGCTTCAGAAAAGTCACTGCCAGCAAACTCGGTGGCACACATTGTAGGCTTCTGATTTTGAGCTACTGATGTTCTTTGACGGATCCAGTTCAAATTTCGAGATAAGCTCACGTACTTCCACTCGACCCAGCTTTCTACGTCATCACATGTGTAAGCGACCATCGCGACCTACCGCAATTGAAGACAAAAGTGTTTGTAATAAAAATTTTCTGAATTGGTCACATGCAAGCTAGATAAAAAAAAAAAAATATTTTTTCATGGGTCATCAAATTATGATCAACTTACCAGAGTACGATTTCTGAAAACTGGCGAACCAAGAGGAGGACACTTGTGATACCTTGATCGAGGATCAGTCAAATCTTTTTTCTCAATTGTGATATCTGACAACACTGATATACGACTGGCATTGTTAGGAGGTATTGCACTCTTAATGACATTAGAAAAAATTTCAGCAAAATTTTTAAGTATCTCAGGATCTTTTGACTCGCCCATCATCGAGAGCAAAATATTTTTTTTATTATTAACACTATCTTTATGCTTGGCTCCAACATCGCTAGTCACATTGGTTTCTAAAACTTCTTCCAAACGACCCATCGTCTCGTCAACAATTTCCTTGGCAAATTTTTCAATTTTTTCCTGGTCAGTTACTCGGACTTTTGGTTTTGTTTCCTCCTCTATTTTACTCCAGTCAATTGAAGTAAGTTTTTCATCAACTTGCATTAAATTTGCCGCTATTCTCTCTTTCAGATCATCTAGATATAAAAAATTAGAACAAAGTATAACAATAGAGAACTGAATTATTTTTAGGGAGATAAATAAACATACCGATAATTTTCCTTCTGCCGTTGACACTTTTGATGTCGTTGATATCAAAAGATTTTTGTTTTTTACTTTTTGCTCCTTTCTTGGCATCAGCAATTACGTCTAGTATGTCCTTAGTTTTCTTTTTCCGTTTAGTAACTTCATTTTGTCGTTTAATTTGGACTTTTTTACCACTGTTGCTTCTTTCAACAAACAAAGACGTATCCTTTGATAAAAACGACGGCGCCGGAGCGAGCTTAACTGGATTCCTTTTTCTCCTTATCAAGGGAAATACACTCTTTTTAAGCCGGTACAGTCTTCTTAATCCAAAATTACGTCTCGGTACTGTCATTAAACTGTCGTCGTCGTGAACCGGTGGAGGCAAATGCTGAGCTTCTATCGGTTTAATAAGATGGTGATTCTGTAAAACTCAAGCCTTTGATCACAAAACTATTAAATTTAATAAAGCTGCGATTACAAACATACATTGACTCTTTGTATAACCGTCAAAAGCTGGCATTTTTGGCTGCAGCACATGTGACCGACATCGTCATAAATACCCTTGGGCAGCTTTGGCATCTCAATAACCCCAGTAAGAAAGCTAAATCTTTAATATTAAAAGTTTTAATCGGCTTATCTTAATTTCAGATTATTAATAAGTACAATATTCGTATCAAATTAATATTACGAAACAATAATTACCCGCAATTCAAAAACAAAATTGCAACATTGTAAGTCGGGTGGTCAGGGCTGTCAACATTATAAACATAATTCGGATGCATTTCATAGCGATTTATTTTGATGACGTAGGGTAACGATGTTGCAGCGCCAACAAGAACAGCCAGTTCGGCATCGATGTGTTGCCTATAAAAGTTACAGTACGCCCATCAGGTTAAGGTTATAAATAATTTAATTTATATACTTTTACAGAGGTTTTACGATCTACTACGTAAACTAAATTAAAAAATTTAAAGATGCATACGCAGACATTTACACAAGATAATAAAAAGCTGTGACAACATGAGTACATACTCGTATAAATCGGCAAAGTGCATGCAGGATGCTGTTGTAATGGCATGTGTCGCTGTCAAAATAGCACCGCTGCACATAAAATACCTTTCGTTGCTGAAAAAAGCATACAAATATTCATTATTCTATTAATTTTGATATAGAAATATTTTTATTTTTTTTTTGTAGTTAAATTTGATTTTGTAATCAAAAGTTTTTATATATACGTGATAGGGGATGCTGGACGACAACAGGCGGGAATTTTTTCATCTCTGACAATGAAGGCGTACATTTCCACCATTCCATCTTCTTGATTATTCATTTTTGTTATCCAATAGTCTCTGCTTACACTACGCTTTACTTTTTTGGCGTGATATATTTTTGATTTGTTGGTCTTAGATGTAGAATTAGTCGCAAATTTAGCCGCTAAAATAATATCTGAAAATTTGTTCAAACTTGAAACCTTATTGATTTGATCACTTTCAACAGTAGCGTTTATATTGCTGTCAACAAGTTTGGTAATATTTGGTGGTGGTTCATGGAACCGCTCAATTTTGTCTTGTGATTTATTTGAATTGGCATCTTTATCTGGATTGAATCCATACAGCGGTGAAATACGTCTGACAACCATCAGTATTACATTTTGTAATGTTTGATGAAGAGAATTTATAGTATTTAAATTATAAGACTTTCTCTGCTCGGAATTCGCCTCCAAATGGTGGAAAGTCGCCGGTGAAGAAGAGGAAGAAGGTGATGAGCTTTCCAAGGACGTATTATTAAACTCCGATGAATTTACCGGAGAGAAAGTAAAAGGAAACGTATCTTCTTTTCCTTGTTCTTTAGATTCTTTGCTAAACGAATCTCGTGTCATCGGATAATCCGTGCAATTTTTACCGTCGCAAACTTTCTTCGTTCCATTTGATATTGAATTATTGACTTGTGTTTGGGTTTCATTATCTAATTTAGTTGATCTATCAACATCTGTAGTTAATGCGAAATTGGAATCTGAATCTCCATCGCCGATACCATCAATTTTAAATGATAACCTTGTTGTACTTTCTTCATTTATCATCGATTCATTTTCCATTTCAATAGTATTTACCAAACACAACAATAATAATGATATATTCACAAAGATAAACCAACGCGAAAACATAATGCTCAAAGAATAACCAACGTTTAAAGTTCACGAGTCACTTGATACTCGAGAGACTGGATGGATTAAAAAAATTGCTGTTAAAAATTATTTTTTTTTTTTTAGAAAAACAAACGTTTCTGTTACTACTCACAGAGTAAGTTTTCAATATTACCTCTTTTTTATTGTTTAAAATCGTGCGATAACAGAAATCATTTCGTTAGTTACTAAACATTTAAATTGTTGACATAATTTATGATAAGCTTATTAGTTACAATCGTCGAGTTGGAAATTACGAGGCTCGTTAAATTTTAATTATTTTAAATTTAAGCTTAAGTTTGTTTCAATAATTAATTGAATAAACGTCAATTAAAAATTTTCATTTTATTTTTATTGTGTAACAGATTATTACAGTCTATACAATATTTAAAATTACATTTATTTAATTTATGATTTAGCATGTTTTCTATTTCTTATCTGTTCATTTGTTTTTCCAGAAGAACTTACGTGTCTTCTTCTTAACCCATTGCCCATTTCGCCTTTTATGTATTTTTTGTTTGCTGAATTCCTGAGCGCAAAGAGAGCTTGTTTTTGATTTTTTTTCACCTTCCTCACAATCCAAGGATGATTGCCAAAACGCCTTAACCCATCATAAGCTGGATGGTACTGCCCGTATCTATTAATGATCGACTGATTTTGCGCTCTGACAATCATCGGAATATCACCATTTCTGAAAATAGATTGAGGCTTAAAAACATCCTGATTACCCGCAGAATTCAAACATTCGGGAGAGTTATCGCGACATTTAGCAACAGGGGGCTGTAACGTTTGTTGAATATTGTCGTTGGTAATAGCTTGTTTACTCCATCTATTCGGATCTTGGTTGGCATGCGACCAATTGTCTGTAAACTCGCGATTTGTTACTTGGCGCACATTATGACTTGCCGTTGGCCCATTTGTCATAACTCGAGAACCTTTCGGACAGTTTCCTTTTTCTTTGCAGCCCACGGATATGTAAAAGTTGAAGATACAGTTTCCACATCCACGTGGATTTGTCGCATTATCATTCGCAGTAGGAGCTCCAGTTATTCCGTTTGGTACACTTTGCTTATTCTCATGCGGCTTGTTCCAATCATTCAGGACATCCCTTATCCAATTTGTGTTGTAGAACAGATCTGTGTAGTACCACTTACCGTCTTTTTGACGATCATCGCAAGAAATTGCTACAATTGCTGTCTGTAAATAAAAAAAGTTCAATAACCCGTTAAAAATTTTTTCATATCACCATATATGAAATTGAAAAAATAATTCATTATAATTTTTCAATTTTTTTTTCTGCACAGAAAAAAAATTTACGTGAATCAATAATTTTAAAGAACTTCAAGAATTTTTTTCTCGATTTAATTTAATTTTTTTTTTCTGTGTTTAAAATTGTATACGTCAGTTAATATGTTTTATTAAACAAAAATTTTTTCAATACTTGATTAAGCTAAAATTCAAGGCTAAGATTTACCAAAAATTTACCTGGTTACGATTCACCATGACAGCCGCACCAGTTTGAGCACATCCACTAGTACCATCACTAGATCTTTTTACTAATTTTTTCACATTGCTCTTAACATCAATCAATCCCGTATGATTTGGATTTATAAATTTGTTTTCATTTATTGATCGACGTTTTCGATAATTTATGGGTATTTGTGGAGCTTGAATTTGATGAATAACGAGTTCCTAAAATTTATAAATACTTTTTTTTATAACTAATAAAATTAAATTGAGAAAAAATTTATAAATACATAAACTTGTTTTATCAGATAAGTTTAAAAGTAGCGACAACAGTTATGAATGTGAGAATTGAATATGCAAACTTACGTGTCTAGTCTTCGTATAAACAGCAAGTACACAATTTTCTTCAGTACAAATGTGTGTCATAGGTTCTGTTGGTAAATAGATTTTGTTATAATTAACTGTTGAAATTCTACAAGCTAAACTCAAAATTGCAATATTATGTTTCGTATGATCTGGACTGTAAGGATTGGTATTATGTTCCGGATGAATTTTGTACTCAGCAACTCTTATTACTTGAACAGAGGTTTTTAGTGGCGCAATTACCACCGCAAGTGGAGCACGAATATTGTGCCTTAAAAATATAAAATAAAACCCACATTTAACAATAATAAATACATTTTTAAAAATTAAATTATTGTATTTTAGTAAATACTTTATGTGCATGGCCTCGTGCAAACATGAAGCCGTTGTCAGTATGCGATTGCGATGCAAAATAGACCCAGCACACATTAAAAAACGGCGACGACTGCCGAGAAAAATAAAAAAAAATACATCGCTGTATTCAGAGTTTTGTAAATACAATATAATAATAATTATTATTATCATACTTACGATCTCATTTTTCCTTCAGAACAAGCCGCCTCGGCGTCTTCATCCTTAACAACAACCGCCTGAATACCCAATAAATCTTCCTTAATGTCACCCATCTTCATCATCCAATAATTAATGACAATTGGCTTATCTGTTTGATTCTCGACAGTCGTATTATCAGTAACAACTTCTGTTGTCGGCGTATCTTCCGTGGCGGGTGTTTCTCCTATTAATTCGCGATGAGGAATAGAATCAACGGTTTGCGTAATAGTTACATTTATTCCATTTATCATAATCATAATGACTATTACTAATGGAACGCAAAACGGATTTACTTTTTCACGGTTATTTTCTTTTAATATAAACATTTTATTGTATTTATTTACACTTAGAACAAGAAAGAGTACGACCATATAGTCGGTAATGGACTGTGCATTAAAAAATTGCTTTTTTCCTGTTAGTTTATTTAATCAGAATTATTAGTAAACCGCTTGAAGTTATTGAGATGTATTACGTCCATGCCGGAGATTTTGCGATACGGTATAATATAAATTAATTATTCAATCTGAGTCGTGATTTTTTTCATCCATCATCATCATACTATTATTATTATCAGTATAAACAGTTATTTACATGCATAGAAATTTTTTGTACATATTAATGTGTATAGTATAAAAACAAAATAAAGAAAATAAATTTTTTCGTTATTTTTTGTTCGTTTTTAATTTTAAAAAATTAATGTTAGATCTCAAAATTTTTTTTAGGAATACTTTTTAGTCTGAACTCTTATTTTGAATAACAAATCTAGACTTGAAATTTTTTTTTTTCTAAATTTAATAAAGTTAAAAATAAAATAACATGAATAATTTTTCTCAATTCGTTTAGTACAACGGTAATTTATTATCTACTATCAGACAGTAAAAATCTCAAAATTAGTAACGGCTTAGTCGGAAAAATTTTTGGTTCTACCAAAAAAATTTTATTAAACTTAAAATCAGTTAATCGCCTTACTGACTAGCTAGCATAACTCGCTGGAAAACTCTAAGTACCTGCTATATCATATTTAACAACGCAACCGTTCACTTTATTGCCGGTTCATTAATTATTGCTTATTTGCTAGACTTAAAAATTAAAAACTGATTAAAATGCCATTTATTAAGTTATTCAACAATCTTTAGAACATTGGTTCAATATATTGTCAAAGTATTCAATCAAAAAAAAAAAATAACTCGCCCTGAAAATTTCATAATAATTATTAAGATTAAATAATTAATGGCCCTAATTAAAAAAACAATTATCTATTTTGTTTTCCACCAACAATATTTGTTTATTCAATACGGCTCTTAAGCCCGCCGAGATCTAAAACCACTCACTAGCAGACTTACTTCCTGAAACTCTCAAAAATATCTCTAACGAAATAGACTAAAATAAAAACTCATTCTAGATTCGTATTCAACTCTTCATGAATCATCCTTTAAGATTACTCTTTTTATTCACCTACAACCATAAATGTATAATAATAATAATAATAATAATAACGAAAATATACAAAATACATAATATGTTTTGAGCTCTCATTTTAGTTAACAAATTAAAAAAGTTCAACCCCTCTCGTTCAATTCCTCTCTTTTTTTTTTAAATCAGCTGTACCGTTGAGAATAAATCGGCGTAGCTCTGTCTTAACATTTATAGTTATATTTTATATATCATGGGAACACTTGCAAACGGTGTATCGTGTGCGACCCACGCATTAGCAAGAGACAGCACCAACGAGACACGTAAAAAGAGAGAAGCTAATATATATATATATATATATATATATAATGATATAAGAGAGGGAGAGTGTAGCCTGTAGCCGAGAAAGACTCTTTAGCCATGTCGTGTCTGATCAGTTGGTTCCTGACGTTGAATATAAACGTGCGTGCGAATTCGTTAACCATCACTAAAATAATACGCTAAAAATAGTTTACTCCTTTAAAATAAAAGCTCAGTTTGTGGATTGGAAAAACGATAAAATAATTATGATGTTATTTTTTATCAAAAACAAATGATTTATTTTTTTCCGCAATTACAGTGTAAATATTGACAGTGAGTGTTAAGAATGTTCGCTACCACAAACTCATTCATCTATCCGGCAGGTTTTTTGAAAAAGTGATAGTTAGTAACATATTTACTATCAATCACAGTCACCGGTTGTTAATAATATCCATGACAACATAAATGACGTTACGATACCCAGCGAAGACGTGTAATTTTTATTGAAACACTCCCCCATACTTATACCCAACATCACAACGAGACATAATTTATAATTAACGTCAATATCATGCAACTTTTAACAACTTGATCGGAATAAAATGAGGATACCGTCATTCCTTTAACGAATAATTAAATCTTTTAATGTCAAGTTTATTTATTACTCGAACAAACTTTTATTACCTTCGTTAATTTAATCATTTTTTTTTTTCGGCTAAATTTCATTCTTTCAATCATTTTACTTCTACATTGCAATTAATTAATTGTTAGTTGGTGTTTTTTTCCGTTCTACAGAACAGATTCAATTATTTTTATATTTATCGCAAAGATACTCAGGTCACGACGTGATCGTCAGACCGCGAAGTTCAACATCCACGCGGTACTGTAATCTCCTTTTCTTTTTATACTTTTTGAGGAATTACGTATCGTACTGTACAATATACAGTGTATAGTTGATTTTAAACAACTTAAGTGGCGCCCACACGTCTCGAGATATATCTTCGCTTCCTCATTTTTCTTTTTGTTTTATTTTTCGAAAATTATATTGTCCAATAGTTAAACTGGAAGTTAAAATTTTTCTACGATAATTTAAAAATATTTACCGCCTAAATTATTTAAAATAAATAAACAGTGTGTGGGAATAAAGAGACATTTTAATAAAAATGAAGTTTGATCCTTGAATCTATAATTAAATAAACACCTACTGATTTTTTCCGAATAAGTCTCCGGTCTGTAGAGAGAAGAGTTTCACCTGTTACTAAATATTATAGTCTGTAATTATAGATCTCGATGGTATCGTTGGTTAAGATTAAGAAAACAAAAAAAAATTCAGAATAACCTCATTATATTTATTATATATTCTCGGTTGTTAAATCTGTCATTCGGTATTTTATTATAGCGACTAGCGGCTTAACTAATAACTTATAACTTATAAGTAGCGGCCTTTTTGCTTTTCAAAAATATATATTATATTACATTTTATATCACTTCGATACCCACGTACTACACCGGAAATAAAATTTATCGTTTAAAACTAAATAAAAGGTTCAGAGCTGTTTCGGAGAAAAAGCAGGTCATCTAAAATGAAGGAGGCGAAAAGATAAATATGACTAATAAAAAAGTACGAAATAAGAATCAGAGAGCACGAACACAATAAATATGTATTGCAAATTGAAAAAATTATAATAATAATAATGAAATAATTAGTGAATTAATTAACCAATAAAGTGAAATGTGTGTTACAAAAATAAAATGTTGAGTCTTGTAGAACGTAAAACAAGTGGGTTGTCATGGCCAGCGGCTACTCATCCCAATTATTTGAACTTAAATAATAATAGCAGTAATATTAACAATAACAAAAAGGAGGAATACGGAGAAAAGACAGTAACGTCCAGGTCGGAGCCTTGCGGCGATAATATGATATTGAGAAGATCCTCGTCATCGGGACAAGAAACGCCGGCTAAAAAGAAACCAGTGAGACATCGATCCTCCTATTGGCAACGCAATAGCAAAGGCTTACTCTGTGCACTCGGACAATTTGGTTGCGGTAATTCTCACTACAGTCCGGATACTATTGGAACTTGGAAATATCATCGTGTTACACGCACTAGGTGATGTAGAGTCTTATATTGGTAATAAAACACTTTTGAGATCAGTTGTGGGTCTTCTGGATTTATTTTAATAATTAAAAAAAATTTATAGTCATTTTTTGTAAATTTAATAAAATATTAAAATTAATTTTTTTAAGTAAAAATTCATAATTTTAATGACATATAAGTTAATTTTTTTTTTTTTTTAATGATAAAAGTTTGTAAAAGAATACGAATTTTTTATTAAAATTATTCCTCGTAATTGGAATATCTAATTATGTAATTATTAAACTGACGCCAGGGATCGAATCCAGGCCTTCCGCGTAAAAGTTCTGTGACCTCTACTTATTGTCATAACCCACTTTTCTCGAGTAATTAAAATAATTTCAACAAATAAAGTAAAACATTTGAATTATTATTTTTAAAAGTTGTGAAATTTTGCGGAATTAAAAAAAAAAGTTTTTTTTTTTAATTTAATTAATTGATTTAATAATTTCTTCGACTTTTACCAAAAAGATTACCTAAAGTAATTATACTAAGCTTTAATTAACCATTGAAGTGAAGGAGAAAAGAAAATTAATTAAATTCACGTGTGAAAATAACAAAATAAAAAAAATTGCTAATTGAAAATATGATTTGTTTGAAGCATGATAAATGTGTAGTCAATTATCAAAGTTAATTATTATTAACAAAATTTTAAACGTAGTGAGAACTGACTTGTGACTTTTTAAAATGAATGAATTATAATAAATTTATTTATATAAGATAAGTTGAATTTATAATTGCATATTGGGTGAAAAAGACGTAATTATTATCGCAATAAGCAGACGATGTAAAAGTGCAATAGAGAAAGTATTAGGGAAAGGTAAAAAGCGTGGGCGAAGGTGCAGGTGCGTGGCATGTACAGCCGATGAAGGCTCAGGGCCGTTTGACACTCGATACGAATATCAGTTTTATGAGTATATCTAATCGAATCTCCGTTAGATATATTGTACATTGTAAACGGAATGAAATTTAATTTATTTTGTTTTGTTCTCGATTTTTAATAATCGGAAATTCAAAGTGAGATTGAGTATTTTTATTTAAAACTTTTACTTAAATTTGTTCGTAATAACTAAAAGTGATTATCTTAATAATTAGTTCTTCTTGTACATTTATTTTTATGAAAATTAATTTTGAGTGAGTGAAAAAGTGTTTAAACTTTTAGTTTAATTAAAAAATAGTACAAGTTTCAAATTACCCGGGAGCGGTGGAAACTTTTCATTGATTCAACACAAATTAATTGATTGTTAATTGTCTCCGATACAATACACATGGCTGCGTGTTTCCAATGGTAATTCATCGCTTTGCGTTAATTAAGTTCAATTTTATGTTTACTTTACTCTAACAGTTCTATTTAATTTTATAGCGTGTAAAATAGCAAGAAATTCATCGCGTTTGAAAATTTATGTTTTTACGGATACACATAATATATAAATTAAATATTTAAGTGTGAAATATTTTTCACAGTTTCAATTTAAAAAAATAAAATTGCCGTTACTGCATACAGAGAGCTTTTTATTTCTTTAGACAAAAAAAAAACCTAATAGCCTTCGCTATTTGTCACATTCTTCAATTTTAAAAAAATAATCTACAGTTACCTTTATTAGTCGAGGAGAAAAGTGTACCGCAAGATTGAGAAATTACAACTTGAACGCATTTAAAGATTATATTTACTGCCGCCGTAAAATATTTTTATTTATTTTTTCCTTTCATCTGAAAAACATTAAAATTAATATTTGTGGGTTAGATAAAATAAAATCCTTCAACTTAAACTTGACTTAATTTAAAATCAAGAGCTGCAATTTATATGTTAAAACTAATCAATAAATGATTAATATTTACTTTCTATTAAAGAGAATTTCCAATGCTCTAAAACTTTATGAATAAGTCACAACAAAATTTACTAACATAAAATTTTGTCTGTTACCAAATTCTGTCAAAAATTTGAAAGAAAATTTTCTTAAATTTAAATTAAGACACTAATCTACTTTGAGTGCTTATAAAAATTTTTTTTTTGTGAATTTTTTATGGAATTACTGGTAAAAATATTGATGTAGAATTTTTTGAAAAAGGAATAGAGAATTTTTAATGTCAATATAAAAGTAACAATAAAGCAATAATTGGAGACAATACATCTGCATTTTTTAACTAAGGTTGTATACTAGTAAAAAAAAAAAAAAAAAAAAATCACATCTGCATTTTTTATTGCTTTTTACAAAAATAAAAATAGTAAAAATAATTTTATTTCAATCAGTCAATATAGGTCTACAAAATATAAAAAAAACTCGATAAAAAAATTTAATTATAAAACCCATCAAAATAAAAGGAAAATAAAAAAACTGTAAAACGAACCTCCGAGCATACCTTTACAATATTTACGTACTAGTTAATTAAACTTTGTTGGTATAATAAAAAATATATGATGTCCAAACAACTCGAGTAAATCAATACGGAAATTAGCCGACTATATATTACACAAATATGCAGAGATATTGCATTATTGTAGTCGCTGGTAATTGGCTGTGCCAGTGACCGTGGATTTGCGGTTGATAAACGTGGGGATAGGAGAATGCTACGCAATCACGAGGCTCTTTAGCCTTAATGTCTCTCGGTCTCCACGAAGTGCATAAGAACAGAAGCAGGAGCAATAGAGTATCGTATATCGTACATCGAATGTCCGTATAAATATAAATATAAATATAAATACTCTGAGCACAGGATAAGACATATAGTAAAGTACTATATAGGTATGCACACAGTGTAACTGAAAGCAGCAAGCGATGCGTGTATCGCGGAAACGCCCGGGGATCCGGTGTGTGGTTGCCTGCCCCGAAGGTGGTTTCTTGCACACATCACGAACCAGAATGATGTGCCCTCCTGGGTGGACTCTTAACCCCATCTACGGAAGTACTATACAGAGAGTTCCCTTGGCATTTATGTGTCGTGGACACGCGATGCTATTTCCCCAGCACAGCCTTGCATACTTACTCTATTCACTCGTACCCGGCATAATATAACTTTTAGCATAAACTCTGCACCGAGTTAACTTAAACGCTTAGCTCTTACCTCTTAACTTATTCTATTCTATGTATGCCCGGTATTATATTACATTATATGTATTATTGTATTATATCTACTGGAGCTATTCGCAGTTAAGTTCGCGAGTCACTGTTATATGTGTGATATGTTCTTTCACTCACCACTGACATCCTTTAACGCCCACTAATGTTCTGAGGAAAAATAACAGAATAAAATAATAAAATAACCAGAGAGAGACTACTCGTCGTGTTTCGTGCCCCTCTTACAGAAAATTTCTCAGTGCAGCCGTGCGTATCGAAAGGCGCGAGGGCTGAAAAAAATAAAAAATAAAAATGGGTCGCGTATTAAACTTACTCGGTACACCTCAATACATTCTATATATTTATATTACTTACATTTTACATTATACTTTATACTGTACTACAAGTTAAGCTTCATAACTAATATATATATATATATATATATATATATATATATATATATATATATTTATTTATGATTGCTGTGCGCGCAACACAACACAGCTCATCCAACCGCAAATTCTTTATGTCGAGATTATGTCTTATTAACATTGTAGGTGAATTGAATTAATTCAATTTAAAATACTGCTCTGATTAAAATACTTATGACACATTTATAGCAACACGTCTACCTACTTTTAATTACACCTGCTGGATAACTTTTTTTTCTTTTACAGCCATCAGCTAATTCTAAGTAAAAATATTCTCGGGTTACTTAGTTTTATTTTTATTTGTATGTATTTTTTGCCGTATACTCTGTATATGAATAGAAGCAAAAATGGAGCAGTAATGATTTTCAGTGATGAGTAAATGTAGAGCTTTAGTGAGAAAATGTTGAATTAAATAAATATATTATATTTCACGAATGGAGTCACGCATCGTGACGTTTTCCCATGACAATTTTCAGTGCGAATGTCAGTCAGAGCTTATGAAAAATTTTATTTAAGAGTTGAGGAAAATTCCCATGAATTAGACCATCATTTTATTTGTTTTATATTTGGTAAAAGGTTATATATTATTTATTATTAAATTATTGTTGCAATTTTTAGTTTAACACTAATTTGTAATTTAATTAATGGATAATTTATTTATTGTTACAGCCATGAGGGAATGAGCGCTGGAGGTGATGGAGCTGGAGGCATCCAGAGTGGAAGTGGTGGAAGAAACACTCCACCACATGGCTCACCTACGCCTATGGATAAAGCCACCTTGAAAGTTCATCTACCAAATGGTGATTTCAATTATGATTAATTATGTGCTTATTTATTTAATTACCCAGGCTAAAGAAATATTACTTTTATGGTCTGGTGAATAAAATTCTAATAAGTGACTTCTCTCTGAAATTGAGATGTCAATTGTAGTTTTCGTTTTTGATGAGACGGTGTTTTAACGTAGATAAAAATTACGCAATAACTTCCGTTGAATATTTTTATATATTAAAAATTCGATGAATATGTTTCGTTCTGTATAAAAAAAATTTGCATTGAATTTCGGCATGAATCCAATATAACGTGTTTAAATGAGATTTATTTACTAAATCCCCACGAGGGATTTTTATATATATTTTAATATTTCCTATTTTATTTAAATTGTTTTTCTTTAGTTGATCGGTTTCTTATTATGTAAATAAAGGTGAAGTAATCTGATCGTTTAGATCTTGTCTGATACATAAGTTTTTTCACAGTAACCTTGTGGAACTAAATCTCAGAACAATATTAAGCACTTATTAGAGTACAATATAATTTTAATAATATATAAAAAAAAATTGTGAGAGTTTTTTTTATATATTTTGAGAAAATAATGTCGTGATACTGAATTTATAATAGAACAAATATTGATAGGGCAGATATAAAGCTTACAATTCCTCCCAAATCCGAGTTAAATAAACATTAGTAACCTGCAGTCGCACACGTGACTGGAGATAGCTTTGTCTAAGTCTATTTGAGTCTTCAGCTTCTGATAAGAAACCGTAAAATCCGAGTTTTGTTTTTCTAAAAACTTTGAAAATGCATTGAGTTGATCTAAGCCATCATTAACGATTGTAATTTTCACGAAATTATCTCCAATAAAATTTCTCTTATCTCAATAATTTGTAAAATGTAAATTGGCGGAATATATTTGGAACAAAAATAAAAATTAGTTTGATTTAAAAAAAATTTTCAAAAAAAAACATTTTAATTTAAATATTCTTTAATAAAAAAATTACACTTCTATTTAAAAAAAACATTAAAAATTTGATAATTTTTTTGATTTTAATTAATTTAATAAAATGTAATGGTTAATTATTATTGGCGTAATTTTATTTATACTATTCATAAATCAGAAGTATTTAGTTAAAATAATTACCCAAATTATTTTTAATTGTATAGAATCAAATTTCTCTCCATTAACAATTTAAACCAATCGTTACAAATATCTATTACCAATAACGATCAATCAGCTAATGGAAACGTTACAATTGTGCGATTGTCGGGTCTGCTATTTTCATAGCCATCATCAGATGGCGATGTATTTCAATAACAAAACAATCAATATCCTGAATAATCGACATTTCCTCGAAATAACAACAAAATTACCGACCATTAGCTTGAAATGTTTATATACAAACAACTTTCTTATTTCAATTAAAAATAACGACTTTTATACAGGTGGTTTTAATGTCGTTAAATTTGGAGACGCTATCGACGTAAAAGGGATAATATCCCTAGTAACGAGTCGTTTGGCCGTAGGTAATAGACATTACAAAAGTTTATACGCAATGAGGCTTCATCATCCGGGCTCTGGCGAGAGTTATTGGCTGCATCAAGACACCACCATGTATCAAGTGAGTAATAACCGCTAAGTACTTGGCGTTATTTCACTTAATAAATAAACGGTCTCTCTTATTATTTTTATTTTATTTTATTTATTACATTATTATAACTCCCGGCTTACAATGTCGCATCTGTTTTAAAAAACTTAAATCCCAAGATAATTTAACTAACATTATAATAAAAAAAATTATTATTATTATTATTATTATTATTATTATTATTATTATTATTATTATTATTATTATTATTATTATTTAATATCCGTAGGTCCAGGAGAAATACGAACGTAAGCATCCACATTCCGAGTGGAGGTATGAGCTACGCGTGCGTTATTTACCGCAAAATCTAAACGACTTGTATGAAAAAGATAAAGTTACATTCTACTACTACTACGATCAGGTATTTACAATTTATAATTACATTAATTTAAATTTAAATATTAATGTAAATATTAATATTAAAATATAAATAAATACCAAATGATTTATTTATTGATAATTACATTAGGTGAGAAATGATTATCTCAATGCAAATCATTCGACACTGGATCAAGATGTTGCCGTCCAGCTGTGTTGCCTAGAGATACGTTATTTCTTTAAAGACATGCCGCAAGTAGCACTTGACAAGAAAAGCAACCTGGAGTACCTGGAACGAGAAGTTAGTTTGTTATTATTTAATGCAGTCAAAGTAACTTGCCAGTCAGAACTACCCAGATAAATTAAATACCACTGGTCTTAAAATTGTTAAGCTCAATACATCAAGTACTCTTATACTCAACTCTTACATTAGTCTAGTCTTAATACTTACCAACTAAACTCGACTTTACCTTCTACTTCTATCCACACACTTGAAAAATATCAAAATTAACCATCACGATGTGTTGAATGTCAGATGTTTATAAATATAAATGTATGTGCTGTTTATTTACAGGTCGGATTGCACAAATTTCTTCCACGCTCGGTGTTAAACGGTGTGAAACCAAAAACATTGCGAAAGCTCATTCAGCAACACTTTAAGAAGGTCGCTGCTCTCACCGAGCTCGAGTGTATGTTTAAATTCTTTGATCTTCTACGCTCGCACTACAGATTTGATCAGGAGAGATTCATTTGTGCATTGGGGGTAAGCTAATTAAACCTGTTTTTATTTATTATTTATTATCGTTACCAATATTTTTATTATTTATCATAATAATTATTGTTACTAATTTTTTTAATGATCGACTTTCAATCATTAATCAATGTTATATTAATTTTATTTATCTGATTTATCAGTCGAGCTGGTCGATACCCGTTGAACTAGTTATCGGTCCGGATCTCGGGATTTCTTATATGGCACATCGAGGCGGAACAGTGGTAATGATATTTATTTATTTATTATCTGTATTATCCTCATCAATTATCATATTATTATTATAGTCATGTAACGCTATTTTTTATTTATATTTTTTTTGTGTGGTTAACACGCTAATAATAACATTTGTAATTAAATAATAATTTTATATCATTGTAACTGATAATTATTTAAACATTTTATGGATGTATTATTGTAAATTATTTTTTAAAAAATAAATAAATGTAAAATTTATATAAAATTGCGGTAAAAAATTTGTATATGAATTTAAAAATTTACAGCCGACAAGAATGGCAGAGTTTTCCCAAATCCAATCGATCCAGACATTGGTATCAGATTGCAAAGAGCATGCCAAGGCTTGCATAAAGCTACGTGTCGCCGGAGCATCTGAAACGCTGAGTATAACATGTTCGAGTTTAGATCAAGCGGAAAGCCTTGCGGATTTGATTGACGGTTATTGTCGGGTTGCTACGGGATCCAATACCTCGCTGTGGAATAGAAAAGGTATCCACTTACATTTTTACTCTTTATATTTCATAGCCGCAGGATACATTTATTATATAAATAGAATATCCAGATATTTATGAAAATAATAAATACATAAATAAATAGAATTATTTTATCGTTTAAAGCTGCTTCTTGGAAAAATTATCCTTGTCCCTGCAAAGGTACGAGTATAAATATACAAATAAAAACCTAGAGTAGAGTAGTTTCACTAATTTTAATAAATAGTGAAAAATATTTTAAGATAAACACCCGAGTTATCATCCGTTTCGTCTTTCATTAAATTTTCTTACAGAAAATTATCATCGGAAAGTTTTATTAATTTAAAATCTTAGTACAGAGTTTGTGCTTGATATTAAATTAAATTTAATTAAAGACGAACCGTTACAATTTGCTAAAAAATCAGTGCTTTTTTTCCATCCTTTAATCCCTGTGCTAAAATATATGCCAGCCGTTCAGATTTAATGTTTATCATGTTAATAATTCTTTACTGCTTATAAGAATCAGGTAATAATAATATTAATTTATTTTTATTAGACGCTCATCCGCCAAAGTACCGGCACGAAGGTAATGGAAGTCCCGAAAAAAATCACGGTAAAACGGGGACTATTTTGTCTGAAGATTACGCGGAAATTGTTGATGAAGAAGGGGATTATTCGACACCTGCTGGTTAGTTTTATTAACTAGCTATTTTCCTTTTAATTATTATTCACAGTATGTCGGTATTTAGCTGACGCAACTAATAGTAATAACAACAATTCATAATAAATAAATAAATAAATCGATTATTTCAGCTCGTGACTATGAAATCGTAAGAAATCAAGTGGAGCTCGGTGAAATAATAGGTGAAGGCCAGTTCGGTAACGTTCATAAAGGTTCCTACAAAGGTAGAGATGGTCACACGGTCGCAGTCGCGGTTAAAACCTGTAAAGTCGACGCGGATCTCGCGACTGCTGAGAAGTTTTTAGAGGAAGCTTGTAAGTATCAATGTCAAAAAAAAATTGTTTTAATCTTTTATTTAGAAAGTTTTTATTTATGTAAAAAATAAAATGTGTTACAGATATAATGCAGCAGTTCGAGCATCCGTACATTATAAGGCTGATTGGTGTTTGCTCAGAGGCGCCGATCTGGCTGGTGATGGAGTTAGCGAGGCTCGGTGAAATGCGAGCGTACTTGCAAAATAACAAGCACCGGCTGGATCTCGCGACACTTTTACTTTACACCTTTCAATTGAGCACAGCGCTTTCCTATCTCGAGAGCAAAAAATTCGTCCACCGAGATATTGCAGCCCGAAATGTTCTGGTCTCCTCGCATTCTTGCGTTAAACTCGCTGATTTTGGGCTCAGTCGGTGGGTTGAGGATCAGAGCTACTACATTGCTAGTAAATGTAAATTGCCGATCAAGTGGATGGCGCCTGAGAGCATTAATTTCCGACGTTTCACCACCTCCTCTGATGTATGGATGTTTGGTTAGTGTTCTATTGTTTATTGTTACTTAGTATTACTCATTCATCATCATCATCATCTGTCATTAGTTGTTAGATATTAGTTATTATGTTAGTAGTTAGTAATTATTTTAAAAGTAAATACTGTTTAATTGTTTAATTATTTAATTATAGGTGTTTGCATGTGGGAAATATTGATGTTGGGAGTAAAACCATTCCAAGGCGTAAAAAATAACGAAGTGATTCGTAAACTTGAAAATGGTGAGCGTCTTGCACTTCCTGATCGCTGTCCTCCGCGGTTATATTCACTGATGTCACAATGCTGGAGTTATGAACCGAGTAAACGGCCGACTTTCAAGGACATTAGAGAAAACTTACAGTAGGTTTTATTTTTAACAATAATAATAGTGATAATTGTTTGATTTTCTGGGGGGTTTTTTTTTTTTTAATTATTTATCAGCATGAAAAGTTTGGCTACTTTTAAAATAATTAAAAAAAAATTTATTGCTATAATAATACCAATTATCAATATTTTAATGAAAAATGTGATAGAACAAACTATTCAAAATCATTTTAAAAAATTGACTATCGCCAAAAAATTTTGAACCAAGACCATAATTTTTAAGAGTTAGATCTTCTTGAATAAAGAAAAAAATTCTTGAATTTTTTTAATCAGATTTTATCAGTACTCCAAAAACTTATAATAAATTAACTATCGCTGAAAATCATATGAAACCTTTAAAAGGCATCAATTCAGGTCAAGACCGACCTAATATTATTAAATTAAATTTTTATAAACCCATTTTGTCATATAAATACTCTTGAGACATTATTTTCTTTATTCTCTTAATTATATAGAAGATTATCATGAATAATTGACAATAAGACTATCAAGAAGCATGAATAATTTAACTAAAATATATATTAACGAACACCAGATATTATCACAAGTTATTACTGTATAACATCGAACAATACTAACGAATATTAAATTGCAGTGAAATTTTATTGGAAGAACGACATCAACAGCAAGAAACGATGAAACGTGAAAACCGGCGAGTGCAAGCAATGTCATGGGGTACATATAATTACTTATCAATTATCATACTTGTAATTTAAAATATCCAACGACAAGACTAATTATTTAAAAATTTCTTCTTTAATTTAGGAGCAGATGAAGTGCCACCACCAAAGCCGTCCCGACAGCCGCAATCGTCAGAGCAAGTGCCAACAACGGTAGCGCCGGTTTCAACGTACATCGTCGCCCAGAGCCCGGAGGTGCTGGCCCAGCTGCTGAAGGACAACCAAGCTCGGGGGGTATGTCCCTCTGTGTACACGACGCCTGCCTCTGCCTTCAATACGCTTGCGGTTCAATTTCAAGACGATCAGCAAGTTCTCACTACCGCTACTGTCACAGACTTGCCTTTCTTCGATCCCCCGAATCCCCTCTCCTCGGACTCTGCCCCAAGTAACATTAGTTACAGCAATGAATGTCCCCCTACTTCGTCTATCGCAACTACTCACAATGACTCTAATAATTCTGATGCTAATTTAGATTCTCTAGACTCTACTGATACCATGTCATCTATTATATCTAATCTCAGCGTGACAGACTCTATTCAAACACAATCTCCCGCTGTAAATCGCAAACAATCACTCGTACAAATCCAATCCCAAGTACAACAGCCCCAACAACAACAACAACAACAACAACAACAACAACAACAACAACAACAACAACAACAACAACAACAACAACAACAACAACAACAACAACAACAACAACAACAACAACAACAACAACAACAACAACAACAACAACAACAACAACAACAACAACAACAACAACAACAACAACAACAACAACAACAACAACAACAACAACAACAACAACAACAACAACAACATATATAAATAAATATCTGATTATCAACAACAACAACAACAACAACAACAACAACAACAACAACAACAACAACAACAACAACAACAACAACAACAACAACAACAACAACAACAACAACAACAACAACAACAACAACAACAACAACAACAACAACAACAACAACAACAACAACAACAACAACAACAACAACAACAACAACAACAACAACAACAACAACAACAACAACAACAACAACAACGTAAGATTAAAGAGATGCAAAATTTATACGCGGTTAGCTCTAAAGTTGTTGCCGGTACCGCAATAACCGGCGATTTGTACTCGCCAGTCCAAAAGTTTAACGTTTCTGCGGCGATACCAGTGCCTGCGGTGACCACCGTCGGCGAAATTTACGCCCCGGTGACCAATTTCACCCAAAGCTCCGCGATAATCGGTAATTTTAGCCAAACATCGAGTATCAGTAGCAGTTACAGTGACAATAACACAGACATACTCAACAATTCCGGACCCAATAGCTTGTCAAGTGTCTCAAGTCACCACCAAGTATCGCCCAGTATTATGTCCTCGTCTATTTCTCAGCATGCAGCGCAAAATTCACCTGTCAATTTTCCCAGTCAGTTTGTTAAGTGTTCAGCAGCTGCCGCGCTGTGCTCTCAAAATGCGGTCGCGGTATCTATGGCGATGCAAGGTGCTTGTCAAAGCTCACCTGCGATCTCCTCTTTGTCATCAAACTTTATTATTAATAACAACAAAAATAATGTTATCGCTGGTGGTAGTAATGTTGGTGCTGGTGTTGGTGGTATTGGTGGTGGTAGTGTTGGTGCTGGTGGCGGACAAATTGTCAACTCGTCTTTACCCGTATCGGAATGCCTCTACGGTCCTGTTTTGAAATTTCGCGCGCAAGCCCAAAGCTGCGCAGAGACAAAAACCGCGGCATCTGTCGCTGCTTTACCTTACGCGCAAAATTCAACCGCGCGTGTCTACAGCCCGACACCTTGTGTCGCCCAGAATTATCAGCAGCAATTGCATCACCATGTCCCGGTTCCGAGTTATCAACAGCAACATCAGCAGCAGCAGCAGCAGCAGCAGCAGCAGCAGCAGCAGTTTTCTGTTAATTATGGGCAAAACAATCAGCTTCAAGGAGTCCAGTATGTCGGCAATGTTAATCAACAGCAGCAAGCTGGAATTATGCATGCTCAAATAAACGGCGTACCCCCTATTTACACTGTCCACGCTACACCTGCGATTTCTGGTGGACAGCAGCCTTTCGATCACCAGCAGATTATTATTCAGAATCCTAATTACAGCCAGAGTGTAGCTAATCAGCAACAGTACTCAGCTATTGTTCACGGATCTCATCCGCAATTTGCAGTATCGATGCAGGCGCAGTATTCATCATCGCCTATTAAGCACGCGCCTATTAGCAACGCTGCTACGGATTATATGGTAGCCCAAAATTTACCGCAAGCGACGATAAATAATCCCGCTGCAATGGCGCGGTCAAATGCAGGCCCCCAAGTGGCTACCGGGCTCGCTAAAATAACGACATTCGTTAACCCAAATCAAGAAGAACAGCTGGTCAGCTCTATTGACGGGACACTGTCCGGCTCATTGATTTCTTCGGCTGTCAGCGACAGCACCATGTCATCCAGCGGGTCAATTTTGGAAGACGCCCAGCAAGATCAGGTTTGGCAATGCCCTCCCCTGACACTACGAATAACAGCATCTGTTTAGATTTATTTGTTGTTTATTTTTATAATATTAATAATAATAATAATATTTATTTATTATTGGTTTCTTGGTTGAATTATTATTTTTAATAATGCACCACCATTTTAGTCCGATAATTTGCGCATTAACGCACGTGCTGATTTTAATTCGCGATTTTTATTGTTTCAGGTATTCTTTTTTGTCACTAGTAGTTTTTATTTTTATTTATCCTCTATTATTTATTTATTTATTTATCTGATATGAAGATTTTTGGGCATGGTGAATGTATTTGCTGTTTGGTCTGCATGCACAACGTATTTTGTGCTCTATTTATTTTATTTAAGTTTTTATTTTATTTATTATGCATCTCTTTAATCTTAGCATCGCAATTATTTTTTCTCGCTGTAAATATTTCACAGGATTGGATAAAAAGGCAATTCCTAACCCTACACTACCCACAACATATTAATCACTCTTATTCATTTATTTATTTATTTCATTAATCAATCATTTATTTATTTTATTAATTAAGTAGTTGCGGTCATTTGATAAAATTTTATTGACGTATTTTTCTGTGATTAATTTCAGAGAAATGCTCAGTCACAATTGTTCGATAGTATAACGGATAATACCCACAACAGTATTGATGAAGAACAGAAATTGTTGGAAAAGCGGCTTTTTGAGCAGCAAAGACAATCAGAGGAAGACAGCAGATGGCTTGCAAGAGAAGAAGTATGTTTGTTATTTGTTTTCTTTCTTCAGAATAATTGTCAATATTAAATAATAAAATAATTAAAATTGTCTGGTTTTTATATCAGAAGCGTTTGTCTATTGCTACAAGTGGTGATGAAAGCGCTAGCCCACCTGTCCCACGTTCAATGACTCAATCTCCTAGTCATGATCATAGTGCTAATACCAGTTCGTTTGGTTCCGACAAAAGTAGTGATAAAATTATTATTGTTAAGGTAAATAGATATTTATCTGTTAAATTTTTTTTTTAGTTAAATTATCGGGATTAAATTGTATTTAAGTGGAAAATATTTTTCTTTAAAGAAAATGGAGCCAACTCCTACAGCCGACTTGGACAGATCGAATGATAAAGTTTACGACTGCACCACGAATGTCGTACGTGCTGTGATGTCATTATCACAAGGCGTTCAACAAAGTAAAGCCGATCAGTATTTAGAATTAGTGAGACGAGTTGGAGTTGAACTGAGAGCGCTACTTTCATCAGTAGACGCTCTTGTAGACGTGCTACCCGCCACTGCGCATCGTCAAGTTGAAATGGCTCACAAAGTTTTGAGCAAAGACATGGCTGATCTCGTTACTGCTATGAAATTAGCGCAAAATTATAGTTCTACAACTCTAGACGCTGAATATCGAAAGTACGTTTATCTCGACGGATAAATTTTATTACTCTTATCCGTATGAATGTACATTAGTAAATTATCTGATTACTAGTAGTATAGTATTGTTAATATATTAATTAAATTTCTCTTAAAATTTACTTTTTTATATTAAAAACTTTAAAAATGAATGAAAAAGTTGTAAAAAAAAAAAAATTTGTAACTATGAAAATATTTAAGTTATTAAATATTTTTATAAAATTAACACCTCGAAGAATTTAATTTTGTTTTTATTTATTTTTAAAGTACACAGCTTAGTTATTTTTATCTTATAATAAATCTTTTATCTTTTCGCTTTGACATTTAATTTATCGAATAATTCGTTTAAAATATAAATTAAAAAAATTTTTAATTGGGAAATGAAAAACGGATCAATATTATCATTAGATAGAATTTTACAGATTATAATATTTATTTAAAAATAATTAATCAAAGATTTCCTCTAAAATTTTAACATGAGCTGTAAAACATTATAAAAATTCTATTTTTCAAAAAAAATGAAAATTTATGGATATATTCATCATAGAACCCAGGTATTAATCATTAAACTTTTTTAATCAGACAAATTAACAAAACTTAGATTTTAATTTATTTAAAAAATATTATCGATCAATTAAAGATCCTAAATAAATTTCCTAATTGTTAATAAATAGTTTTCAAAAAATAAAATTATTTTACAAGTATAAAAAGACAATTTATCAACTTTTCTTTATATATATATATATATATATATATATATTTCCAGAGGAATGCTATCAGCAGCTCATATATTAGCGATGGACGCAAAAAACCTTCTCGACGTGATAGACTCAATCCGGATCCGTTACCCATACGTAGATAATCAGATCTGTGAGCGACAGCAGGAGACGATAAGTAACTCACGTCAATCGACGCCAGAGCATCAGCATCTGAATAATCAGCATCAGAATCGAATAATACGTTCAAGCCAGTCAGGCGAGCAGTTACTACTGAGACGTAGTCAATCAACAGAAAGATCCGACACACCGTCATTCCGTCAGAGTCAAAGTGGTGATGTGTTGCACCGGCTCGGGCAATCGGTTGACCGTTCACTGCCTGGAACACCATCCGCAACAGGAGTTAATGACATTACCACAAACCCGATGTCTAGTCTCGAAAGACGGCACCGCATGGTGACTAATAGCCTCGAGAGAAATTCAACAGCAGCCAGGAAACAAATTACGACAAATAGTTTAGAGCGTAAACGACCTTCGATGCCGACAATGTCCGCGTCCATCTGCACCGGGTCCTCCTCACCGCACAATTCCGTAAGTTTGCCACCCATTCCCGTACCGGTTCCTGTCTCTTGCAATGTTGTCCAAACTACTGCGCCCATCATCCATCCGAATCAAATGATCACCATGGACATCAGTCAATCCGCAAAGTTCACAAATAACACCAATGATTTGACCGCGACTCAAGTCAACGACAGCTAACAATTCAAAAATTTTATACTCCAAAATATTCAATCATAATTTTATTAATTTATCATTGTCACTCGGTTTGTCCTCTCGGAAAAGATACCATTTATATAGGGTAGAAGTAACGTTTGTGGCCATTGTAACGTTTATGGTCATTTATTATTCAAATAAACAATAGAAATAAATTTATACTAATAAACCATTACAAACTCAATTTGTTTTAATATAAATTTTTCAAAACTCAACAAAAATATGGTTATAATATTATAATTTTTTTATAAATTAATTTAAATGTTAATGGGCCAAAAACGGTGCTAAGGTGGCTAAAAACGGTACTTCTACCCTACTGCATACTTAGGATTCGGGAGTCAATTATGTATTGATATACCTAATTGACTAGGTCACCTACAATCTAATTACTTTGTGTTTAGAGACTGTATATATTTGATAGATATTTAAGTTATCAATTGCTACCGTATCGCGTAACTAGATTGTTTTTTTTTTTTTTTTTTTTTTTTTTTTTTTTTTTAATAAGTAAGCCATTGATGCTTGATTTATCATAATTATTATTATTCAATGTTTTGTCAAAGTGTACTTACACGTTGGACAGTATTTAATAGTTGTAGCGTGTCAATTTATAAATTAAATTTATATTAAATAAAGTGGTCAAAAAATTGTACTTTGCATGGCATTTTTTTTCAATATGTCATTAAAAATTTTGATGATAAATAAATAACTTTTCTGGTCTTAAGAGGCTAAAAAATAACAAGCATTATAAAGTTCTTTATTTTTATTTAATTAAAGGTACAGAGTAAACAAATATTAATAATGTTTATTTTCAATTTATTTAATTGCGTTATTTTTTTTTTTTTTTATAGAAAAAAAATTTGTAGTTCTGGTAAAATATTTTTAAGTAAACACGTTATGAAATGAAAAATTTAATTGAGTTGAGTAAATACTTTCAATAAGAAGCTAGTAATTTTGTTTGAACAAATAATTTTATTAAATTAATGTATTTTTATGTTTCAAGTACAGAAGAAAAATTAACTTTTTTTTTTTGTTATTTTGCAGTCTTATGAGCAGGATTGATAAAGTAATTGATTAATTATTTATAATGACGTATTAAAAATAAATAAGTATTGACTTGCAAGTACAAAATAAAAATGACAAAATAAACTGAATAAACCTCCAAAGTATAGAGTATTCAAAACATATTTACGATTACTGCAACGTTAGGGTGATTCGTATGAACTGCTCAATAAAAACAAAAATAAACAGGCATATCCATACCTGCGAGATAGATTTTCAAATTAGTATATAAATATATGTGTGAACAATATATCAATTGCGCTGTTTTTGTTGAAAAGCATGCTCTGGATATAATAAAAGAAAGCTTGCAAATGTTTTAAACACTGTTGCAATTATTGAAAATTTAAATAAATGACGAAGTACGGGTGTGCAGTCTCATTGTTTCACCCTGCAGTTAAGTATGATAAAACTGATACTGATAATACAAAGTATATAAATATGGATGAATTAAAAAAAAGTATTGATATTTTGCGTCTAACTGTATTTTTAAACTTGCAATCAGTCGTGATATCATGATTGGTAAAAATAGTAAATAAAAATGAATATTTTTTAGCATTAATCAAGCTTATTAGCGATGGAAGGATTAAAATATGTTTAAACAAAACAAATTACTTGGGGAACTCAAATAAATAGCCCAATTAATTACAATTGCACATTAATTTATGTATATGAACGAATGGAAGTAGAAGTCGGGATAAAATTATTATTTAAATTATAGTCTGTTGACAAATAATAAATACCATGTATAAATATATATACATGTATATTTATTTCTAAATTTATTTATGTATAATCGTGCTATGAATGAACCGATTTTGCATATAATAGTAATTTTAAAAAATGTGCAATTTATTAAATAAATATTTACAAATATGAAATCGATAATATCTGTAATAATCCTAAAGAAAAAAAAATGATATTTATATTGAAAATTTTGGCGTGTTTATAAAATATTGTACATTTTTTTTTTTTATTTTACATTTTTGTATTTGTACGAATAATACTGTTTGATACATTTTCTAACTGATGCAATTTTTTATCGGATCAAAATTTACTGAAATAGTTATTAATCGCTAGTAATTAAAAATTTACTCTCAGTGTTAATTTTCTATAGAATGACTTTGTACGTGTAATATGAAAAAGTGGCCACGTTATATTGTTTAGATTCATTTTATGTATATAATAATAACTTCAACATTTGTTATTAATTATTATTTCATAATTTGTAAATTGTGTTGCATAGTCTCCATTTTTTTTTTAATATTCTCAAGTAGTTTTTTTTTCTAGAAGAAAATTCAATCATTTAAAAGAATATATTAAAGTCTCGGTGTCTTCTTAATGAAAAATACGTCATTGTTATCATATGACTTATCAAAATTAATGGTTGTAATTTGAAACATAAATTCTATATTAATTTATACTACAATTATAATAAATGTTGAATGAAAAATTCACATATGAAGAAAGAAATTTGAATTAGTATATATTAAACATATTTAAAAACAAACTAAGCAATTATTTCATTTACTCATGTACACTTTTGCACTACATCAAGTAGATAATTCGATTTTCAATCAGTTATTATTAAGTTAATTAATTAATTAATACTTTGTAAATTTCTGTAAATGCATTTATTGTATTGCCGCAGGCTAAAATAAAATGCGTGTCAAACTTAATATTAATTATTTATAATATCAATTATTTTTTTTAGTATGTATATTTATTTTTATTTTATAATAAATTAATAATAATTAATAATAAAATTTTTTTTTTATTCATTAATTAAAAATTTTTATTTACAGAGTTGGTTGTCAAAAATGATTGCTTCGATATAAAACGAATTTGCCCGAAGCAAATGATTTCATTGTTTATTATTGCTGAAACATTTATTAAAAATAAGCTATAATTATTTATCAATACCCTCAAGCTCTCGCAATATTCAAAACAAACAAATTTTATTGTATTTAACCGGACGTAGCGTTAATATTAATTTGTAATTTGAAGTAAATCTATTCTATGTTGAATTTTTATGTTGAATTAAATCACGTCGGTTGTTTCAATGTATCAATTTACATTTTGTAATCTTTGTTTTGGGATAAAACAAAATTTTTGGATACTTTAAAAAGTATATAAAAGTGAATCGTAATTATAGTATCGCTAATTTGATTTTCAAAAATTTTTAATTGAAAAAAAATCTAGGCATTAGAAAATTAAAAACTGAAAATAGACTAAGCAGAAAAATAAAATAGCAACAAAGAGTTTAGCATAATATCTTTTATAACAATCAAAGGTAAAATAGAAATCATATTAACCTTACCGACTTTTTTCAAAAATTAAATTTCTAGAAATAATGGAATAAAGTAATTTAAAATTTCGGTAGACAGAATTTTATTTTTTCATTTTTTAATGACAAAATTTTCGGTAATAAATAATTAAATATAATACTTAAGTGCTGCCCATTAATTATTTATTTTAATTATTTTAATTTGAACCATTCCGAGACGACCAAATTTTTTGGGGATTATCATTCCAGTTGCTTGGGTTACAATAATTATTGTGATCTACATCGTAATTATAACAGATTCAATGAAATACTGACACACATTTGTTTATAACTTTTTAATTTATCAAACTTTCCACATCAGATATTTTAACCAAATTAATTATTGTGTTGAGAGTCCGCTTTCAAATTAAAAAAATTTGTAAATATAAAATAATACAAAAGAGGTATTAAATAACATTTATTATTTTACATCGAATAATTAAAACTTTTAATCATTGAATAATTTTTTTATTATTTTAATATAGTTATAAGAATTCAAATTTTTAAATAGAAGCAAATATATGTGTGTATTATTTTAAGCAATGTCAAATCACAATTGTTTGAACTGAAACTTCAAATTTTTCGGGTTTTTTTAAATATCGTATTTCATTAAAATAAAAATTAGTTTAATAAAATTAAAAAAATTGAATCATTTGAACAAAATGACCGAAATAACATTGAAAATTATCATTATATACCAATAATTTATAGTTAATCTGGCTGAACTAATTAAATGACGGGATTTTAATTACTTTTTCAATGAATACCAATTATTAGATTTGAAATAAAACCGCCCAACAGTGATGTTTAATTAGATCGTGAATATTTAATGACTTAAAAATAGAATTATTGAATATTACTTGGTATAAATTGATCAATTGGAAACCCCAATGGACTAGTAAAAATAATTTACTAGCTAATAAACAGGAGACTATTGTTGCAGACAAATGAGCTAATAAAGAGTTCTATGGAGATAAATTTCCGTTGCTCTGGCTATTAAAGTTACCGATGATATGTTACTACAATACTAACATTTTATATATAGTATATTACATACCTAGGCCAGTAAAATAAGAAAAGTCTCAGATCACATGTAATTGTTGGCCGAGGCGAAGCCGAGGTTGACAAACATGTGGTCTGAGGCTTTACTTTTTACTGGCCAAGGTGTGTATACTATTTTTCTGCTCGACGTAGCCGGAATGTGGTAACTTTGTTTAGCGCAGCGGCCAGAAAGTTGCCACTTTCCGGCCGGAGGGCAGAAAAATTTAATTAATGCATGATGAATTATTATTACTTAGAGTCCGCTATGATTTATTATTAATCACAGAAATTTAATAATTTTTTTATCATGTATTGATGAATTATAATTCGCCATCTCTTCTATTTCTGCGTCAGTATGCAGATCTCTCTCAGTAGAGAAACTTAACTTTTGATTGAAAATTAAAAAGTAATTAAATCAAAGTTTAATTATAATTATGAAATAATTTAATTTCTACAGTTCCATGTGACCTTTTATTAATATCAATTACTTTGAAACAATAACTTCCTTTGTAGTTCAAAATTCTTCATTAAAAATGAATTTCAAAATTTTGATAAGTTAACA